TTTGGGTCCCATGTGATGTGATGTTTTGGCTTTAATTTTTTTTTTTTTGATTTTCCACAACATTAGTGCTCTTTGAGAACTCCCAAATTAAAAGGATGTATCATTTCTGTTTAAAAATTCAACTGAAACATAAAAATTATCTAATAAATATTTGTCATATCATTCAAAATTATCTTATCAATATTTCATCTCGAATTTTGAATTTTTGTGCTGATAGGTGTGGTCTTCCAGGAGTAATATCTTCCCGGTAAGATAGGTGTGCTGACAAAACAATAAATTGACATGACCAGTGGACTACCCGAGGGGTTGGCCATTTATCTCAGCGGTAAGATTAATTTGACCAAAGCGGGTTTAAAGCAAAAGAAAACAAAAAAGCAAACGGTGAAAAGCTGGAGAATTTCAAAGGAGGAATAGTAACTTTATATAATATAATAATATATAAAATGTTTAATATTTAATATATATATATATATATACACAAAACTATGGTGCATGGGTGCAATCATGGCACCGAATAAATAAAATATTATATATAATAATATAACATACTATGTATATAATATAATATTACATAAAAAAAAAGTAAAAGAAAATGGAGAATAGATCTAAAATAATTTGGCAAAAACAGGGGTAAGGTTGAGATTAAAGTTTACATTTCATCTTTTCACTGAGAATTTTGTGAGATAGCATATTCTTATTTTCATCATCAGGTAATGAAAAGAAAGCGCTTAAGTCTTATGGCCAGTCAAAATGTAGTGTTTACAACATCCCAAACAAGCCCTTAAGTCATATTATTTGGTATGATATTTCAATTAAAGAAAAGAAAATTAAACTAAATAGTGATTTAGCACGGTTTTGATTTTTGATCCGTTCAGAAAAACTTTAATAAATTATAGAAATTTTTTGTGTATGATCTGAAAATACAAGAATTTATTTAGCATGCCTTTTACTTCTTTGAATTTTTATAAAACTATCAGAGAGTATTTTACAACCGAAACAATTATTTTCAAAAAGACCGCAAATAACCAAGCAGAGACAGTTATTTCAAATGAATGTCATTTTCTTTACAAAATTTATTTTCATGCAAGACCACTTGGGAAAGTTACTTTTTGAGTTATCTTTCATTTGCCACTGATTTCACTAAAAATTGATGAGTTTCAAATGTGTAATCTCAATTTTTCCAAAGCATGACAGATGTTGTCCAATTTTCTTAAAAAAATGTTTTCTTCATATTAAAGAGATTTTCAGCTTTCAAGCTCTCTTAAAAAGTATTTGTAACTTGAGTATCTAGCAAACATAAAAATCTCACTTATGTTTGATGTCAATTTTAGTCGGTTTTCATTTTTTAAACTTGAACTCCATATTTTAAAATTGCTGGAATACCCTGCTTGAAAATACCAATTTTCTTCCAAAATAAATTCTCTAGCTTAAACTGACGTTTCGCCTTTAATCCCTTTAGTAAAATCTTCCTAATTCGTTTATCTAAATTTAGACTGTAGAACCAACAATTTTTGACACCGTTTGGTATTTCCTTTGATTTTACAAATCTGGATCACATGTGCTGAAATTTGGTGAAAATAATTTGGAAGATTAATAAGTGATGTGTATTATTTTTGTGCATATCCATTTTGTCCTTTATTTGGTATATATTAATTATGGATTTGTTTTATGTAGTTTGAAGTTATAAATAATATTGTTCACATTATGCATGGATATTAATATTTTGAAAGTTGAAATTTGGACTAACTGGGTGGTTGGGTTGTTGCACGGTCTGTAATCCTATGATATGATTCTGTGATATGTTCCAGTGTTACGATTTGGACATAATTGGTGGATATTATTAATAGAGTTGTGATAACCCTATTCCGTATTATGCTAATTGACCTTAATTATGCTGGTGATTATGTGTTTAATATGATTTTGAGTGCCATTTATATGATTATATGTGGTTTTGGCTTTATAGCTGTTTACCGTAGGAAAATCTGTTCAACTTACGGTTACGAACTGAAAATTGAAGGCCTTATCGGCCATAGAAACCGAAATTGACTACGCCATTGTGATTGACATAATTTTTAGAGCCTACGGTAAAATTTAATTGAAAGTTGATTCGGACCAAAATAATCAGATTCAGAACGATTGAATTAGGATTGAATTAGGCTCAATTACTTAGCCTTAATCAATTTGATTAGCCAAGCCTATAAATAGGCTTATATACACTTAATTATTTTCTTTTGAGCTCATATTTGCTGAGATTACACTCTAGAGAGAGAGTGTGCCGATTGTAGAGAGAGAGGGAGCTCAAGTTAGAGAATTGAACAAAAAACTTGAAGATCTTGAAGATCAACTCAAGAATTAACCGTAATTTGGAAGATTTGAGCTTCTAGGTGAGTAATTAGACATGAATTCGTGAGTTTGAGTTTGGAATTTTGTAAATTTAAAATTAAATGGTAATTAAGAACATGAATTGAGTTGATTATGATGAGATTGAAGTCTATATGCACATGCATGCTTAGAATTGCCATGAATTTGCATAAGCTAGCATGTAACATGTTAATTATGAAAAATTTAGCATTGAAGCATACATGCAAGCATGGTTTTGTGGAGTTTCATGATTAAAAGCATCATTTGTGCCATTTGAAATGGAATTGGAGTAAAAAATTAACATGCATGCTTGATTAATAGAGATATGAAGCTTGTATGAAGTTTGAATGCGTCGGTTTTGACCATACAAGAGAAATGTTGATTAATTTGAGAATTAAATCATGACTTTGAACAATTGGCCTCATATTGGTTATGTTCTCGTGTTATATAATATGTTTCCATGTTTTTGTGTCCAAAACATGAGCTTTGGACCTTTGAACATTGAGTTTTAACTTCAAGAACAATTTTGGAAATTCCAAAATTTGGCATGTCCGGTCGAGCGGGGAAAACACCGCTTGAGCGTGAAATTCTAGCTCTCAGAACTTTTGCAGACATTAATGTTCGCTCGAGCGGAAAGGGTTACGCTCGAGCGTCCGGACACGTGTTTTGACTCTCAACTCGAGTGTCCGAAGTCACACTCGAGCGCAAACTTGAGGCAACCAATACTTTTACAGACTAAAGGGGTCCGCTCAAGCGGCGAAAGCTGCGCTCGAGTGGGGAGCCCTATTTCAGAAATTTTGAAAAGATGCTTTGTGTTTCATTTTCCGTTCTCTTTCATTTCTCAGCACTCTTAGGCATGCATTGAGCATTGTGAATGGATTAAGAAGATATGAAAGAGGCCTAAGAAGAATATATGAATTTAGAACGGATTAAATTGTTTGTGACCTATTATGTTTATGTCTTGCTTGTCATGTAATGAATTGTTGTAAATGAGAGAGAAAACATATGTTTCCCTTTCCTTTTTTTTTTATTTTTAATTAATTAATAAATTTTTTCAATACTTTTCACTATGTGCATCGCATCAATGGCGATAACCTCTATCGTATGCTTTTCTTACAAGAAATTTGAGATCATCAAATAAGAGGACCCAAGTTTTGAAGCGAATGTCCTCTTGGAGATTGATAGGCAAAGCTATTCTTCTATGGCGAAGCATTTCCTCAAAACCACCATTGATCAATTTGCCACTGCACTTCTGTCTTATTATCTTCACACATTACTACCACAAATGGGGGAGTGGCGGAACAACGAACTCACTGGCCCCGTTTGGTGTAATTGTTAAAACAGATTATAGATTATACCTTAACAGATTATATATAATGACTTTAATCAGAAGTTATTAGTCTGTTTGGTGTAACTGTTGGATTATAGATTTAAGGTGTTGAGTAGTGTTTATTAAATAAGTTGTGAATTAACTTTTTCAATTAACTTTTATTTTTTGTTATTCACTAATTGTCTACATTTCTCATAAATAATAATAATAATAATCTATAGTCCATTTAGGTCTTTTTCTATTTTAAAAAAAATAAAAAATAAAAAAATCTAAGAGTATAACCATAAATTAACATGTCCACAGCAGAAGCTGATAATCAGAAGAAAGGGGTGAACAGTTTCTTAGAATTAGTTTTTTTATGTTAAAATAAGTTGTTAGAATCAAAAGCTGTTTGAAATAAGTTTAACCAAGCAGTCTAAAATAGCTTTTCGAAAGCTTGAAGCTATAAGTTGGCTCAAAAAAGCCCAAACAAAGATTTTTTAGGGGGGTTTAGGGTTTTCTTTTCGTTAGGCGCAACATTGACATGGTCGGCAAAAGGTACATGAGGCGATGAGGCTAGATTGAAGAACATTAGCTGTGAGTTTTGCTTATTTAGTCTATTGCAAGAATGAAAGGCTCATGGCATTTTTTTCTTATGAAAAGTTGGTGTGGCTTGCCTTTTTCGCGCCCCTTTTCGGAAGTTTGAAAAGTTCTACAATTTAGACTCCCGCGGTTCTAAATCTAATCTCATAAGTACAATGTGAAACTAATAAACACCAAATAGTCCAAATTTGACAAATCATTTTAAAAAATCGATTTTGAATAAAAAATGTCAAAATTAGACTGCTTTGCCTGATACTGAGTCGCCACCTAAATATTTTTTATTTTGGAGAAATTTAGAAAACCCATGACTCGTGCCAAAGGCCACGTGTTCGTCATTACCAAAGTTGCCCCGACTCTAATGATTAAAGTTATTTTTTCTAATTTTCAAGAATAGCTACATATAATTAGTGAATATAAATTGAGTTAAAATGTTTAATCATATAATTATTAGAATTGAAAAAAATAAACCATACTACACATTTTGCCTAATAAACATTATAATCTCTTTTAGAAAGCTGGTCCAACTTCCAACTTTTAACTCATTTTAAATCATATCACTTTTTATATAATTTATTCATAAAAAAATAAAAAATTAATTCTTAATCAACTTCCCAAAAAAATCAGGCTACATAGTGGGTTGAAAATGCTGTTGTCAATGGACAAAACATCAACAGCACACTGGAAGCCAGCTGTAAAACCGCTCCCATAAAACCTATTATCTGATTAGATTAGGAAATTCCAAGCAGCCAAACAGGGCAACCAATCAGCATTAATTTGAGTGCAAAATCAACAATTTCCCCCAAACTCAAAAGAGTATATATACATACATTCTCTTAATTGGGCGCGCGCGCGAGCAAGAGCGACAGAGCGATCGTCGGTTTCGGGTTTTGGTCCGCAGAGTGTCTTTCTCTCAGTTGTTTTCGAGCTTTGCTCTTCCAAATTCACACTCCAATCTCTTCCCAAGAAGCAACTGAGAGACAGTTTTGAAGCTTCCTTTCCTAGTCATCAATGGCGGACGAAACCCTGCCTCCTCATAGAAGGGACCCAATCAAGTCTTCAGGCACTCTCTCTCTCTCTCTCTCTCTCTACATATGGAAGCTTTGTTTTGTATTATTACTGACTAGTTTATCATAGTTTATGTTTTATTCACATTTTAATTTTTAGCCCTTTCAAAACAATTGATAAAGTAAATTTCAGACCTTTCTGCCCACTTCTCGTGAATGAGTTTTCGCAAAAAATTTATGAGATGATTATTGCATAATTTTTCTCGTGAATGAGTTTTCGCAAAAAATTTATGAGATGATTATTGCATAATTTTATAAATCATACGGTTCGTGCTGTTTTGATTTTGATAGAAAATTAGGGAAAAAATTTCATCCCACATAATTCAAACTGCAACTGGCTCAGTTGAATGGCTATTTTTCAAATTAATTTGGGGTCGGACGTAACCAGGAGCTTAAGGCTCGAAATTTATGTTTTTAATATTTTCAAGGCAAGCAAATGAACTTTAGTTTGAAATATAATTCCAACAATCTAACATAAGAGTGGATTAATTTTGATTGAACATTTGCGGCTACTTAGTTTATATTCTACTACTTTTGGTTGCGTGATTAAACGTGGATGTTCTCAACACATAACCCTGAGGGTCCACATAGCTTCAAAGAAGCGATACCCAACTTGTAACTCTTTATCTCATAATTTTTATTTGTATTTGAAATGCTGATTCGGTATCTTGCCTCCAGTTGGAAATGTTGCTGCAAATCGAAGACGACAACTTGCAGTAACAGTGGGAAAAGAAAGAAGGGAAGCACTGATGCGAACGAAGCGCCTGTGCAGGGTGGGAGTTAATGATGATGATGTCGTCCCCGTTGACAGTGATATGATGATTGATGAAGAGCAATCAGTTTTGGATGATCAGACCTTTACAGCTGTGGAAGAGCTAAAGCTTGCCATTGCATATCAGTAAGTCAGCTTATACATTTTTCTGTAGAGCACTAGAGAGATGTTTTATCTTGTGAAACAAAGTCCTAAATCACTTGGTTCGAAAGTAATGTGCAAAATATAAGCATAAGGGCACCCTCACCTGAATTGATAGTTTTTGGTGTTAATTTATATCCAAGACTGTGTAACATAGTATTTGAATTGGACTTGGAGTGGCCAGGGATGGGTAAGGTGCGTGTCCTAGGCTTGCATGTGGCAGGTGCTATTAAGTGAGTACATTGCTTGTGAGGGAGGATGTGACTTGGGTACGAAAGTAATGTGCAATATATAAGTGTGAGGGAATGTTACCTCAATAGCTAGCTTTTGGGGTTAAGTTCTACCAAGACCGTGTAATAGATCTATGCATAGAGGAAAACGGTTAAATATAGGATTTAGAGTAAACACGTCGTATATTGAAATCTATGTTTCATCTTGGTTGGATGCTACTTAAAACCTTCATGTGTATGTATGTGTTTTTATAAGTTATGCAGTTTCAGTTAAATAATACAATATATGGAGTTCTTTCTATATATTGATGCTTTCATTCAAGCATCTGCCAGATCCGAGCTTCATGTGTACGTTTTATGCTTTCCATTAGGTGGATGTTCAAATTAAATTATTAACTAGTTTGGCATGCTTTGAGAAATTACCCTTACTAGTTGTAGAAGCAAACATTGACACAGGGCATGGTGGTGGAAGCCCAACCAGTAAAAAATACAGGAAATCCCAAAATGCAATATAGGAGAGTATTTTGGAGATTATCTGGAAACCAGAAAACAATTTGCATTTAGTTAAACTGCAATATTGTAAAAACAAGAAGGAGTTTTTTATTTTGATATATTTTTGTTTAAATTTTTATTGGAACTTGGAAGCATTGTTCATAAGAACAGATATATTTTCCTGTGATGAGAGAAGCCAGTTAGAATTGTTTCCCCGTAATTATTAGAGTGGTCTCTTGTTTTTTGGAAGCATGTTTTCAGGGAAGTGGTTTTTACAGGTTAAAGTGGAGTTTGCTAAATCTGTGAGCATTCTTGCATAATATCTAAGTTGCGCATTTATTGCCTCATTTTGGACCACACTTCTTACATATATTATTTCAACCTCAAATTTTCACCTGTTGCTGACAACATTTGCCTTATTTTCCATAAGAAATGTTTTACACAATCTATATTGGGTAATTGTTAGGGGGAAAGGAGCAATGGCAAAAAGGGTGGCTGCCCTTCGTGAATTAAGGCGTTTGTTGTCAAGATCTGAATTCCCTCCTGTTGAAGCTGCCTTAAAAGCTGGAGCTGTACCTCTCCTTGTGCAGGGCCTTTCATTTGGTTCACCAGACGAACAGGTCCAAAAAATTAGTTACATTTTCTGCTATTTGTGATTTCAAGCTATCTGAATACTTCTTACCTGTACTATATATTCTATCTTTGACAATTTCTGGGTTGCTGGTAATTATTATAAAAACAGGGGTCATGGTAATTATTAGGTGCTTATCCTCTGTCAATTGGTCATTTGGTAGATATTGATGTAATGCTGCATTGTTGTCTGACAGTATTTTTTGTTTTTTCATTTCTTACTCTTTTGATAAGTTTAAGGTATGACATTAGAAATTAACCAAAGGGGCACAACTCAAGTACACATACACATAAACCCCATCACAGAAACAACCAAATCCAAATTCTATAGAAGGGCAACCCAGTGCTGAGGCTCCTGCCACTACCAAGGTCTGGAGAGTTTAACCATCTGTACACCTCGGAAAAACGAGTGCCCAAAAACATGAGTACATGAATCTGTCAGTCTGTAAGGGATGGGGGTTCCCATCATCTATGGCGATGCAAGTTTTCCATGCCCTTAAAAGTGATAGGTTCGAGTAAGCCAGTAAGCAGCACTGGTATAGAACTTTCTGATTTTATCTTTTTGTATCCAGATAAAATTTTCTGATACTCTTTTATTTTATTTTATCCATAATTTTTGTGATCAGTAAAGTTATTAGAAAGTAACAAAGGGGGCAGAACACAAGCATTTGTGACACACATGAGTAAACATAAAAAGCTATAAACCCATGATAAAACAACATAATCCTAATTCTCCACAATACAGAAGTCTTAGGAAATGAGTTTAACCTTTCCGTCCTCAGAAAAAAGAGAGTACCCTAAGTTATGAACATATGAATCTGTCAATCTGTAAATGATGGCGCTGGCTTGCATCCCTGTAAGAAGCACTATTAGTGTGTGTCTTTGTTTTTTTTTTTTTGGTCAGAAAAAAGTTACCTCTCTCTTTTGCTCTCTTGTTTGTCGTACTGCAGTTGCTTGAAGCAGCCTGGTGTCTTACAAACATAGCGGCAGGAAAGCCAGAAGAAACTAAAGCTTTGTTGACTGCTTTACCATTGCTCATTGCTCATCTTGGAGGTTGGTGATGGTTTTTGCATTTTCCATTCAATGTGAAAGAATGTAAATGTTTCTTTCTTTTACTTATCAGAAAAGTAAATGTTTTTTTACTTTTTCTTCTTCTTTTTGTGTGTAGTATTTTTTTCTTTCTCCATTTCCTCTTCATAAATTAATACCGGAAAGTTGTTAAGGCTTTCTGAGACCTAAGAGTGACTGACAGTAATTAAAGATACCTGGTTAAATACTATACATTGAAATTGGATTACATAACCAAGTATGTCCATTTTTTGATCATTGAACTGCTGATTTTGTGGAATAGCACTATTATTGGGTTTGGCTACTTAGGTACAGAACCTCTGACCCAGATTGGCCACCTTGGCCTAGACATACGTTCTCAAGTTGGCTTTTGTGATGCATGGCTTGGTTACAGTTAACATGAAATGAAGATGGGTTGTGTAAAAGATGGGAATTGATTAATTGGTTTTCTTTTTTCCTCAATTAGACTAACGTATGGTGTACTTTACATAAATGCAATTTTTTGTGCTACTGTAAAGCTTAAACTTCTATGGTTGTAAATGCAAGTTACAGTTTTGGAGGCAGCTAATTAATTTGAATAAAACCGAAGGTTAGGTTTTCACCCTGTTCACCACTCCCAGCATTGTAAGCCTTTTTCTTGGTGAGCTTTAATACACTTAATTTCTACAAGTCATATCTTTTATTTATGTCTTTTCTTAATCAAGTTGCTTTTTTACCTATTTCTTTGAGAAATGGAGATTCTTGTCTATTTGAGTTACTCTTACGTAGAACCAAGAGGGAGAAAGAAGAGAGATTGGGGAAGAGAAGAAGAACATCAGGGCTACAAGTCTAATCTCTAGGCTACAACCTGGACACTCAATATTATCAATCCAAATTTAAATATTACTACGCAAAAGCCTAATATTTATAGACCAATAATCCTAATTAAAATAGGAAAACAAACCCTAGTAAAAAAAGGCAACTAAAATCTCTAATAAAATGGGAAACCAAATATGAATAAAATTCTTAACTAAAATAAGACTCCTAACTAACTATAATTTAAAAGAAAACAAATAAAATGCTAAGATAAATAAAATACTAAATACTAAAGACAAAATTATAAAATTGTAAATAAAATCTCCAAGCCAAAATTGGTGCGATGCATGTTCCACGTCATACTCCATTATCAATTTTACATTTCCATATAATTATTGATTTACAATTTGTACATTAAAGATTTTTAAGCTGTTTGGTTCTTTAAAAATCCATCACCATTTATCATCTGTGCCAACATTCCACTGAATATGTTTAGCAGATGATATTGGGTGAGTTCAACTAATCAATGCCTTGATATTGGTGTAGGACATATCTACCTACTTGAATTTCGGGGGGCTGTTAAAACCTACCATCACCTACTCCACCTACCACCACCTACCACCACCTACGACCACCTACTCCACCTACTCCACTACATCTCCTATATAAGGAGCCCCTCACCATTTGTAATAAAAAACAACATATATCAATCAATAATACATCAATTTTAACACTAACTATAATTTAAAAGAAAACAAATAAAATGCTAAGATAAATAAAATACTAAATACTAAAGACAAAATTATAAAATTGTAAATAAAATCTCCAAGCCAAAATTGGTGCGATGCATGTTCCACTTCATACTCCATTATCAATTTTACATTTCCATATAATAAAATGGGAAACCAAATATGAATAAAATTCTTAACTAAAATAAGACTCCTAACTAACTATAATTTAAAAGAAAACAAATAAAATGCTAAGATAAATAAAATACTAAATACTAAAGACAAAATTATAAAATTGTAAATAAAATCTCCAAGCCAAAATTGGTGCGATGCATGTTCCACGTCATACTCCATTATCAATTTTACATTTCCATATAATTATTGATTTACAATTTGTACATTAAAGATTTTTAAGCTGTTTGGTTCTTTAAAAATCCATCACCATTTATCATCTGTGCCAACATTCCACTGAATATGTTTAGCAGATGATATTGGGTGAGTTCAACTAATCAATGCCTTGATATTGGTGTAGGACATATCTACCTACTTGAATTTGATACAAATAAAGATGCTTTCTTGATTATATAGATTTTACCTTTCGTTTAAACAACGAAACCTCGAAGGAATACTTGTATAAAATTTCTTTATAAGTCCTGCAGGCACTCTTTTTATTTTTGTTTTTGTATTTAATATACACTATACTTTCTTGTATGCTTTTGGACCCCTGCAGAAATACACCTTTTGAGTCAATCATTTAGATTATATTAATAGACAGACACCACATTTCTTTTGCCATCTTTTACACTCTTGGGGTAGTTGGTATAACCCTGATAACTAATGTTGCCTTTTTGTTGCCATAAAAAAACATAAAAATAAAAAAAGAAAAGAACAAGTATGCTGCCCATGTTCTTTGTGGTCCAAAAGGTCTTTAAAGAAGCTGTTGCTACTTGCTACATTGAGTAAAGGGGTCTTCTTTTAGATCACTTAAAGTGATATATAATTTTTCAGCCGTATGTCGCTTTCTTCGTCTTCTATTTATATTAAGAATTTTATAGGGTTCTTTCTTGTTTGCACTTCATATAATTTATTTTGAATTTCTCCAATTTTAGATTCCATGTTTGGTCACAGGTAAAATTGAAAATGCACTATGATATCCGGCTTTATTACTGTTCTCTGTGTTTATATATGATTCCATTAAGTGCTTGCTTCGAAATTGTTCTGGATAATTTTTCTACTTGCTAGTTGAACCTTCTAATTGGTAATCATTGTGTAGAAAGGAGCTCCTCGCCTGTTGCTGAGCAGTGTGCATGGGCATTGGGAAATGTTGCTGGTGAAGGGGAAGAACTTAGAAAAGTTCTGCTCTCACAAGGAGCCTTACTACCTCTTGCAAGAATGATGCTGCCAAATAAGGGTTCAACTGTGAGAACAGCTGCTTGGGCACTTTCAAATTTAATCAAGGTTTTGAATCCCTGATCAAATATAGGACTAGAATCTTATTATTATTATTATTGTTTATAATTTTAGAAAAACTTGCATTGTATTTTGTGGGTTACATATTTGGTAGGTTAATTTATTTTGTGACTTGTGAATATTCTTCTTTCTGTGGGTCACGTTCTGTCATGTGGCCTGCCTGCCCAGCTACCTGGTCGACTTGCCTATTCTGAAAAAAGAGTTCTATTTACGCTTAAAACTTAATGGGCTTTTATTTTAATTTTTTATGTTGGCTAATGCTTGGAATAGGCTTGCCTGTTCAGTTGCTCAGTCTCTGTTACATTGCTACTAGTTTTATATTGAAAATAGCATTACTTATCTTTTCCGTTATTGCATATCTGATTAAATATCTAACACAATCTTGCTGGTCTTGAGCATATGCATATTTTGAAACATATAAATTGAGTCGCTGAGCCACACCAGCATAGCATTATTTGTTGTTTTTTTATCTTGAGAATTTTTTTATTCTTCAGTCTTTTTGTCTCGCGTCCGTAGTTGTTCATTAAGCAAATCATTCAAAAAACCAGTGTATTTGCTGCTGTACATGGTTTCATCTGTCGATTGGATTAGGTTGCATGAACAAACCATGATATTTTTTGTACTTTAGACCACCTACTGGTGCCTACTAGGGCATTAACAATATGTTTTTATTCTTCCAAATCATTTAGATATAGACTCGATTATCTTACAGCTCTCATGCAGACCAGCTACTAACTATATGTTGATGTGCATCTATCTTTATTCAGTTTTTGGAAACTTCAGTTTTCGATTCAATGTGAAATACTCAGACAAATAAAAATGTGGGACGTGAAGTGGGCCAATTTTCATTGTTGGGTTTTTTATGTGTGTTCCAGAACCATCAAACTTATCTGTTAGTGATTATTCTACCAAAAATATGTAACCATAATTTTCTCCTATAGATTTTGCCTATGTTTTGTATTTTTTATATAGCTAGTCCCAGGTCTAGAGAAATGACTACGGTTGACATAGGACAAGTACGGTGAATACTCTCCTACTGGTAGTGAGGCCAAAACTAATGTTACGCAGCAGAAAAACTAGGTTGAATTTAATTGGGTTTTTATGGCTGAAATAATAGTAAGGATATAAGGTCTTGAAGGTTTGCATTAGGGTGAAAAAGAGTACAGTTTTTAGAATGAAATCACAAGGTTTTACGGTTATTTGGGGGCTTTGGGACAGTACCATTGAACAGTGACCTTGTGGATTTTTTTATCCTCTTGCAAGCAAGGGTGCTAAGGTTTAGAAACTATTGCTTGAGGGTTGAATAGGGACTAATATAGATATGGTTCTAGAGTTTAATAAGAAGATAAGTCCAGGCGTCACACTTGGGATTAGAATTGCATCACACAATCCCAAAGGAGCTTCAAAAGCTCTGAAAACTTGGGGTCGGACATCTCAAAACTAAAAAAAGAGGATATTTTGATATGGATACAAATTACTTTTAATAGTTACTTCTTAAATAAATATTTTTAATTGAGCATGAGTTAAAAAGTTGATCCAATAATTTTTATGGGTAAAGGGTTTTTTTAATAACAGCCCATGTTAATGAAAGAGAATGTTAGAACACTAAAAGGCACAATGTTTATGGCTGAGAAAAATTTAGGGAGCAGTTTGTGTCCAGTCCGAGATCGGACTGGACGGTGCTGTTGGGCCTGTGTGGGTCCACCACGGGTCCCGTTTTGATAATTCGAACTGTTTAATGTATAGAACTCGTCGAGTACTATATGCTTATAAAAAATCATGTGATCAGATATTGATAGTTATATAATCAAAATAGTTTTTTGTTAATCGTTAATTTATTCACCATCCATTTTTTTTTATACAAAACTGATTTGATCATATAGCTATCGATATTCGATGAACGTGATTTTTTATAGGCATATAGTACTCGACGAGTTCTACACATTGAACGGTTCAAATTATCAAAATGGGACCCGTGGTGGGCCCCCATGGGTCCAACAGCACCGTCCGGTCCGATCTCGGATTGGACACAAGCTGAACCCTAAAATTTATTAGTTAGCCAAACATATATTTTATTTATTTGAGTCCAACCCATTAGCCAAAACTAGCTAAATGACGTTTCCAATATGTAGCTTTCGAGCCCATGATGGCATGGGAACCCAAGTGATGCTGGAAACCTATAAAGCACGGGTATGGATATGGGTACGGATACGTCAATACACAAATTCTTAAAAAAATAAAGTACGTGCACGGCTAGGGTACGTCAAATTAAAAAAAAAAAAAATTATTAAATTTATAGGTAAACATCCAACATACAAATCAAAATTTCTTTATTTTTCATTTTTGATTGTCTAAAACAAGATGAAAAAGAGAACAAAACCATGACTCATGAGTAAAGGGTATTGGAAAAAAATCACTTGATATTTTCAAAATTGAAAGAAAAATAATAAAGGCTGCAACAAATTTTAGTAGCTGTTAAAAAAAAAAAAAAATACCTCGCTGTACCCTTGCCGTACTCATGCTGTAGCCACGACGTATTGGTGTTGTACCCACGATGTACCAAAATGTATTTGCCGTACCCGACATGTATTTGCTGTACCCCGTACCGCCGTATGAGTACGAGTACACGTACCCGCACCCGGTACTCGTACGACACCATTTTTGGAGTACCCGTGCTTCATAGCTGGAAACCTAATGGAATTGCATCTAGAACAATTCAAACCAGCAAGTTGAGAGTCACCAAAACCAGCAGGTCAAAATCCCTAATCTCTCTCTCTCTCTCTCGTTTGCACGCGCACACACACACACATCACGTTCAACACCATTCAAACTTTAATTCTATTTTTCAAATCATGATCAACACAATGTCGATTACAATCCCTAAATCTATTTCTCTCGATATTAGTCTTAATCACAAACTCATGACCTGGATTCAACAGTCGATGTAGCCAAGATTCAACAGTCGATGAAGATGTGATTCAGCAGATCTAGATCTCGAACCGAACACATATCGAAGTTCCTTTATAAGGATAGCATCCACATACCTTCTTCCTTTTTTATTCAGCCATGTCCAAGAGAGAGGAGGCGAATCCGACACAGATCCCACACCCGCACCCCGTGCTGCGTTGCGTCGCGTCGTTTTGCCACGGTTACTTTCCCCCAAACAGACGAGTCCATTTAACATAGCATCAAACCATAATTGGACTTATTAAGTTCGAGCTCTTATATATAGGAATCATCAAGTTCTTTCTGAATTAAAACAAACCAACTTCTGGTTGATTCAGTTTGGTTTCAGTTTATGCACGAAGACCTCATCTTCTTCAGAAGTTATTGAAGGAACGCTTTTATATCTTGTTGTGGTCCATCCAAGTGGCCCAATTATGAATACAAAGTTGATGTAGAGGAGAGAGGGAGTGCCCTTAGCTCGGAGCCAATCTGGAAATTGGAATAAAAGAAAACCTGTGTGGTGTGAAATAAATAAATATTTAGGGCAAGTACGTGAATTCGAAACCAATACACAAGGGCAAGAATGGGATCATTTGTGTAGAATTTCAAATATATTGTTATTGAAAGACATGCTATCTTATAGTCTACGTGGTGGGAATGTTTGGTTAGATAATAAGAATAAGTCTGTACCATGTAAACTGGAACTTATTAAATGGCTTATGTTGACGGTGAAAGATGGCATTCCCTTGCTGTTATTAGCAATAAGTAGTAACACTCTTTTAAACTGTATCAGTGTCTTCAATGCAGCTAATAAAGGGCTTTTCCATGCAAGGAAACCTTTGCAATTTTGTGCTCCTGTTTTTGTTTATTATCTCAGTTCTCACCTAAAATGCAGTAATAACCTTAGATGTTGATACATCTTATTTTAGGTTCATGTGCTATGACTTCCAATAACGTTTTCCCCTCCTAGATTCTTCTGTTCAAGTTTCAGTTACTATATAAACTCAGTGTAATATTTTTTATGCATTCTACATTCTTCTTTTTAAGTGCCAGTTACAAAATAAATTCAGTGTATTTGGATGTAGGGACCTGATCCAAGTGCCGCAACAGAACTCATAAAAATTGATGGGGTACTTGATGCAATCACTCGGCACTTTAGAAAAGCGTAAGTGGTTGATACTTCATTACTCTGCATCATTTACAGTGAAGTTTAGTTGTCAGTTCTGTTTAATGACATAAAAGGGTTTCTGAACTGCCCTTTGGAACTTGCTTGGACATCCTTCCAATTCTAGTTATCCGGAAGGATGAGACGATGAAACCAGATTGTCCATCTGATTGGTAGTCTGGTAGTTCTTCCATCTATGTCAGCCCTATACATAGATATGTTATCGCTGTATGGACTCATCTACAAAAGGAAGCCATTTGATAGGACCTTTCTGAACTACAGTTAAAACTGTTGGGACAACTATGAAGGGACTAATGACCTGAAAATTTGGTCAACATGTAGCGACCTTTCTTAGGGCCATCTGACAGGGAGCATATGAGAAACCCACCTGTTGGTTTTTTTAATAACAGCCCATGTTAATGAAAGAGAATGTTAGAACACTAAAAGGCACAATGTTTATGGCTGAGAAAAATTTAGGGAGCAGTTTGTGTCTAGTCCGAGATCAGACTGGACGGTGCTGTTGGGCCTGTGTGGGCCCACCACGGGTCTTGTTTTGATAATCTGAACTGTTTAATGTATAGAACTCGTCGAGTACTATATGCTTATAAAAAAATCATGTGATCGGATATCGATAGTTATGTAATCAAAATAGTTTTTTTGTTAACCGTTAATTTATTCACCATCCATTTTTTTTATACACAACTGATTTGATCATATAGCTATCGATATCCGATGAACGTGATTTTTTATAGGCATATAGTACTCGACGATTTCTACACATTGAACGGTTCAAATTATTAAAATGGGACCTGTGTGGCCCCCCATGGGTCCAACAGCACCGTCCAGTCCGATCTCGGACTGGACACAAGCTGAACCCTAAAATTTATTAGTAAGCCAAACATATATTCTATTTATTTGAGTCCAACCCATTAGCCAAAACTAGCTAAATGGCTTTTCCAATATGTAGCTCTCGAGCCCTTGATGGCATGGGAACCCAAGTGATGCTGGAAACCTATAAAGCACGGGTATGGATATGGGTACGGATACGTTGATACGCAAATTCTTAAAAAACTAAGGTACGCGCACGGCTAGGGTACTTCAAATTTTAATTTTTTTTTATATTAAATTTATAGGTAAACATCCAACATACAAATCAAAATTTCAAAATTTCTTTATTTTTCTTTTTTGATTGTCTAAAACAAGATGAAAAAGAGAACAAAACCATGACTCATGAGTAAAGGGTATTGGAAATAAATTACTTGATATTTTCAAAATTGAAAGAAAAAAAATAAAGGCTGCAACAAATTTTAGTAGCTGTTAAAAAAAAAAAAAAAAAACCTCGCTGTACCCTTGTTGTACTCATGTTGTAGCCACGACGTATTGGTGCTATACCCACGATGTACCAAAATATATTTGCCGTACCCGGCATGTATTTGTTGTACCCCGTACCACCGTATGAGTACACGTACCCGTACCCGGTACTCGTACGGCACCATTTTTGAAGTACCCGTGCTTCATAGCTGGAAACCTAATGGAATTGCATCTAGAACGATTCAAACCAGCAAGTTGAGAGTCACCAAAACCAGTAGGTCAAAATCCCTAATCTCTCTCTCTCTCTCTCTCTCTTGATCGCGCGCACACACACACACACATCACGTTCAACACCATTCAAACTTTAATTCTATTTTTCAAATCATGATCAACACAATGTCGATTACAAACCCTAAATCTATTTCTGTCGATATCAGTCTTAATCACAAACTCATGACCTAGATTCAACAGTCGATGTAGCCAAGATTCAACAGTCGATGAAGATGTGATTCAGCAGATCTAGATCTTGAACCCAACACATATCGAAGTTCCTTTATAAGGATAGCATCCACATACCTTCTTCCTTTTTTATTCAGCCATGTCCAAGAGAGAGGAGGCGAATCCGACACAGATCCCACACCCGCACCCCGTGCTGCGTTGCGTCGCGTCGTTTTGCCACGGTTACTTTCCCCCAAACAGACGAGTCCATTTAACATAGCATCAAACCATAATTGGACTTATTAAGTTCGAGCTCTTATATATAGGAATCATCAAGTTCTTTCTGAATTAAAACAAACCAACTTCTGGTTGATTCAGTTTGGTTTCAGTTTATGCACGAAGACCTCATCTTCTTCAGAGGTTATTAAAGGAACACTTTTATATCTTGTTGTGGTCCATCCAAGTGGCCCAATTATGAATACAAAGTTGATGTAGAGGAGAGAGGGAGTACCCTTAGCTCGGAGCCAATCTGGAAATTGGCATAAAAGAAAACCTGTGTGGTGTGAAATAAATAAATATTAAGGGCAAGTATGTGAATTCGAAACCAATATACAAGGGCAAGAATGGGATCATTTGTGTAGAATTTCAAATATATTGTTATTGAAAGACATGCTATCTTATAGTCTACGTTGTGGGAATGTTTGGTTAGATAATAAGAATAAGTCTGTACCATGTAAACTGGAACTTATTAAATGGCTTATGTTGACGGTGGAAGATGGCATTCCCTTGCTGTTAATAGCAATAAGTAGTAACACTCTTTTAAACTGTATCAGTGTCTTCAATGCAGCTAATAAAGGGCTTTTCCATGCAAGGAAACCTTTGCAATTTTGTGCTCCTGTTTTTGTTTATTATCTCAGTTCTCACCTAAAATGCAGTAATAACCTTAGATGTTGATACATCTTATTTTAGGTTCATGTGCTATGACTTCCAATAACGTTTTCCCCTCCTAGATTCTTCTGTTCAAGTTTCAGTTACTATATAAACTCAGTGTAATACTTTTTATGCATTCTACATTCTTCTTTTTAAGTGCCAGTTACAAAATAAATTCAGTGTATTTGGATGTAGGGACCTGATCCAAGTGCGGCAACAGAACTCATAAAAATTGATGGGGTACTTGATGCAATCACTCGGCACTTTAGAAAAGCGTAAGTGGTTGATACTTCATTACTCTGCATCATTTACAGTGAAGTTTAGTTGTCAGTTCTGTTTAATGACATAAAAGGGTTTCTGAACTGCCATTTGGAACTTGCTTGGACATCCTTCCAATTCTAGTTATCCGGAAGGATGAGACGATGAAACCAGATTGTCCATCTGATTGGTAGTCTGGTAGTTCTTCCATCTATGTCAGCCCTATGCATAGATATGTTATCGCTGTATGGACTCATCTACAAAAGGAAGCCATTTGATAGGACCTTTCTGAACTACAGTTAAAACTGTTGGGACAACTATGAAGGGACTAATGACCTGAAAATTTGGTCAACATGTAGCGACCTTTCTTAGGCCCATCTGACAGGGAGCATATGAGAAACCCACCTGTTGCAAGCTCCGTCATCACTGTATTGTCCCATTAAACTAACTTGTGTCCTAAAATTCATTAACTGTTCTTAGCTCCACAGAATAAGGTTAACATCTCTAATTGCAGTTGAACATCAGTTTTGTAAACTATTCACTGCCAACAGCTTATCTGTAAGATTTAAAAGAGGTAATTGTCGTTAGAATCCTTGATTTAGAAGAGTGAAAACCGTGGTTATGCAATATGACTACAATCCTATTGATGTTATGTATTAAAGAAATTGCATGGTTATATTTTGTATACCGTATCAAAGGAAGAGGAGTCAAAATTCAAAACAACAGAGAATACAGTTCTAAGTATATTATATTCATTGTAGTACAAGCTTATCTTTTAATGTTGTCCATTATATTTTATAACAAATCCTTGGTTCTTGTTTGCTTCCCTAGCTAAATTGATGTTGATCTTCTTTTGTCTTGTTATAAACAACTTTCTTTTTGGTGCACAATGTGGTATTCATTGTAGTAAAAGCTTATCTTTTAATGTTGTCCATTATATTTTATAACAAATCCTTGGTTCCTGTTTGCTTCCCTAGCTAAATTGATGTTCATCTTCTTTTGTCTTATTATAAACAACTTGCTTTTTGGTGCACAATGTGGTGGTTGTTGAGTATTAAATTGACATTGATCTTCTAGAGAGAGAACTGTTTTTAGAGATAGAAACTCTCAACTTTCCATCATGCCTTCGTTCGCCTTTTCATTAATACCTCTTGAGTCTTTGAGAGATACTTGCCATGCCCTGGCAATAGTAGGTTGTTTCCTGCATGAGTTTATGTAGCAAATAATCTAGATTGAGATATTGAGCCAATATATTTTGACATGGCGATTAGGCTCTGAACTCTTGAAGCACACGCTGAGATCTATTTTAATTTTATTTTTAAAAACTCAAATAGCATACCTAAGGTTGGTAAATTTGATATAATTGAATATTTGACATAAAATACATGTGACATATTTAAAAAATGACATTATAAAAATTTAAAAATATAAGTTTTGCACGTGTTCCCAACATGTGTCCTGTATTTTTTGAAAATTTGCGTGGTCGTGTGCCCATGTTGTGTTGTGTCCATGCTTCTTAGTTGCGGATCCACCATTGTTAACGTTTTTGTGTTGATACTCTTTTTTTTTTTTTTTTTTTTTTTTCCCGCAATCCCTTTTGCCCGTCTTAGTTGTTTCATTTGTCGCGAGACAGTATATTTCTTGCATGGACTTGGCACTTTCTTGATCTTGCTCGGAACATTTCTAATGTTGTTGTTCTTGTTGCTTCTTATCTTGTTGTTCCCCTTGATTTTTACTTTCGGCATGCCCCTTAACAACTTTCTCGTCTTGAGTGATGCTTGATGTCCCAATGCAGTCAGTAGATTGTTGTTGCTTTAAAATACCTTGACTGGTGCTTCGGTTTGTATATCTCTCAGTGCTCTTTGTTAATCGCAGCAATTGCTTTTGGAAGGAAACCAAAATCAATTGGAGATCTAATATTCGTTGATTTTGGCAATTCCTTTTATCCCCATCTCATTTATTTCATTTACTGCTGGACAGTATATTTCTTGCATGGACTTAGCATTTTCTTGATCTGGCTCAAAACATTTCTTGTGTTGTTGTGCTTCTTGCTTCTTATCCTGTTGTTGAAGAGCCCCTTAATAGCTTTCTCATCTTGAGTGATGCTTGATGCCTTGTAGTCAGTAGATTGCTGTTGTTTTAAAATACCTTGATTGGTGCTTCGGTTCGCATATCTGTCGGTGCTCTTTGGTAATTGGATTGCAGCAATTGCTTCTGGAGGAAGCTAAAATCAATCGGAGATCTAATATTCGCTGATTTGATTTGGTTTCTCCTTTTGCTTGCTAAATTCCTCTTCATTTTTGCTAAGAATCTAGAGAGAGAAAATTTTGTTAGAGAGAGAAGCTCTGAAGTTTGCTTCTCGGCTTTGGTAATCTTTTCTAATTAATACCTCTTGAGTTGTTGAGAGTCACTTGCCACGTGTTGGGAATAGTAAGATGAGAGAACTATCCAAAGTTGATTATTCATTTACCACGGGCAAGGTGCTCTAAAAGAATAAACCTAATCCGCAAATATTTTATCTCCAATAAATACGTAAAATTATGACTGTGTTTGGTTGTGTTTCCAAACAATGATTCTACACCCATATTCAAATATGATGTTTGGAACCAGTTCTCAAATCACGTTTTCAAAACTCTGCAGAAAACTCTGTCTCCAGCGTGATTTTCAATTTTTTTTTTTTTCAAATTTGGCCTAACCGGTTGTCCCACCGGATGTCCCGTTGGACCTCCCACCGGTCGTCCGACCGGTTGATCGGAATAGTGCAATTTTTTATTTTTTATTTTTTTGCAATTGACATATATTAAATTTTTATATATTCGAAAAAAATATTTTTCGAATTTTTAATTTTTTTTTATGTGTTTTAATAGAATTTTGAGTTGTATATTTGGGTATGAGTTATAAGTTTTTGTATCAAATATCATATATCACATCAAAAATTCTCCACTCAATTCAAAACTCTTTCACCAAATAAATTTTCCACACTCAAATCATTATTCCAAAACTCACAAACTCAAAATACAACTCATACTCTCAAATCATATTTACAAAACTCTACCAAACGCAACCTATATGTTTTGCATGTGTTTCTAACATGCCATATCCTGCATTTTTTGAAAATTTGTGTGGTCGAGTGTTTGTGTTGTGGCGTGTCCGTGCTTTATAGGCAGGGATCCTCCCATGTTAATGTTTTTGTGTTGATACTCATTTTTTTCCGCAATCCCTTTTGTCCCCATCTCATTTGTTTCATTTGCCACTAGGCAGTATATTTCTTGCATGGACTTAGCATTTTCTTGATCTTGCTCGTAGCATTTCTGGCGTTGCCGTTTTTGTTGCTTCTTATCCTGTTGTTCCCCTTGATTTTTCATTTACCAGGGGCAAGGTGCTCTAAAAGAATAAACCTAATCAGCAAATATTGTCTCCAATAAATACGTAAAATTATATGTTTTGCATGTGTTTCTAACATGCCATATCCTGCATTTTTTGAAAATTTGCGTGGTCGAGTGTTTGTGTCGTGGCGTGTCCGTGCTTTGTAGGCGGGGATCCTCCCATGTTAACGTTTTCGTGTTGATACTCATTTTTTTCCGCAATCCCTTTTGTCCCCATCTCATTTGTTTCATTTGCCACTAGGCAGTATATTTCTTGCATGGACTCAGCATTTTCTTGATCTTGCTCGTAGCATTTCTGGCGTTGCCGTTTTTGTTGCTTCTTATCCTGTTGTTCCCCTTGATTTCTACTTTTAGCGAGCCCGTTAATAGCTATTTCATCTTGAGTGATGCAGTCAATTGATTGCTGTTGCTTTAAATTACCTTGACTGGTGCTTCATTTTGCTTATCTCTCGATGCTATTTCTTAATTGGATCGCAACAATTGCTTATGGAAGGAAGCTAAAATCGATTGGAGATCTAATATTTGTTGATTTGATTTGGTTTCTCATTTTGCTTGTTGAATTCCTCCCCATTCTTGCAAGAACCTAGAGAGATGTAGAGAGGAAATTTTTTTAGAGAGAGAAGCTCTGAAGTTTGCTTCTTGGCTTTGGTAATCTTTTCTAAGTAATACCTCGAGTCATTGAGAGTCACTTGCCACTTGTTGGAAATAGTAGGATGAGAGAACTATCCAAAATTGATTGTTCATTTACCGGGGGCAAGGTGCTCCAAAAGAAGAAACCAAATCAACAAATATTTTATCTCCAATAAATATATAAAATTATATGTTTTGCATGCATTCCCAACATGTTGTGTCCTGCATTTTTTGAAAATTTGCGTGGTCACGTGTCCGTGTCGTGGCGTGTCTATGCTTCATAGGTGGGCATGCTCTATTGTTAACGTTTTCATGTTGATACTCATTTTTTTTTTCGCAATCCCTTTTGTCCCCGTCTTAGTTGTTTCATTTGCCCTGGACAGTATATTTCTTGCATGGAGTCGGCATTTTCTTGATCTTGCTCGGAACATTTCTGGTGTTGCTGTTGTTGTTACTTCTTATCCAGTTGTTCTCCTTGATTTCTACTTTCGGCAAGCCCCTTAGTAGCTTTCTCATCTTGAGTGATGCTTGATGCCCCGATGCAGCCAGTAGCTTGCTATTGCTTTAAAATACCTTGACTGGTGCTTCGGTTCACATATCTGTCAGTGCTCTTTTTCAATTGGATCGCTGAAATTGCTTCTTGAAGGAAGCTAAAATCAATTAGAGTTCTAATATTCATTGATTTGGTTTGCTTTCTCCTTTTGCTAGTTGAATTTCTCCCATCTTGCCAAGAATCTAGAAAGAGAAAAAAGATTAGAGAGAGAAGCACTAAACTTGGCATCTCGCCTTCGGTAATCTTTTTTTATTAAATACCTCTTAAGTCATCAAGAGACACTTGCCACGTGTTGAGAATAGTAGGATGAGAGAACTATCCAAAGTTGATTGTTCATTTAACTGGGGCAAGGTGCTTTTGCTTGTTGAAAGATAATTTTTGGCAGGAAGCTAAAATCAATTGGCGATCAAATATTTGTTGTTTCTTCTTTTGCTACTTAAAATTTTCCCCATTCTTGCCAAGAATCTAGAGAGAAAACTGTCTTTATAGGGAGAAGCTCTGAACTTTCGATCTTGCCGTCCTTCACCTTTTCATCAATACTACTTGAGTCTTTGAGAGTTACTTGCCATGCCACGTCTTGGCAATAGTAGGTTGTTTCCTGCATGAGTTTATGTAGCAAATCATCTAGATTGAGATGTTGAAACAATATATTTTGACATGGATTACTCTCCAGACACGTGAAGGACACGCTGACATGGCGATTACTCTCCAGACATGTGAATCAATATATTTTGACATGGCAATTACTAAAATAGCGTATCTAAGATTGATAAATTTGATATAATTAAATCTTTGACATAAAATACATGTTGCATATTTAAAATATGACATATAATAAATATATAAAATTATATGTTTTACACGTGTGCCCAATTTCTTGTGTTATGTATTTTTTGAAAATTTGTGTGGTTGTGTACCCGTGTCGTGTCCATGTTGTGTCACGTGTTTGTATCTTTGCTTCTTAGTTAGGGATCCTCCATTGTTAACGTTTCTGTGTTGATGCTCATTTTCCTTCGCAATACCTTTTGTCCCCGTCTGATTTGTTTCATTTGCCACTGGACAGTATATTTTTGGCATGGAATCTGCATTTTCTTAAGCTTGCTCAAAACATTGCTGGTGTTGAGGCGGCTGTTGCTTTTTATCCTGTTCTTCTTGATTTCTATGCTTGTTGCTCCAACAGTCAGCAGACTGTTGTTGCTTTAAAAGATCATGACTGCTGCTTCAGCTGGCTTATCTCTCAGTGCTCTTTGTTGATTGGATCGCTGCAATTGCTTCTCGAAAGAAGCTAAAATCATTGGCGAGAGCAGTACTTGGGTGACCCCTTGGGAAGTCCTCATGTTGCATCCCTTTTGCCTGCTCTTTTTTATTTATCAAAAAATATATATATATTATTTATCAAATATATATATATATATATTTGCTGATTTGATTTTGTTTCTCCTTTTGTTAGCTGAATTCCTTCCCATTCTTGCCAAGAATCTAGAGAGAACTGTTTTTAGAGAGAGAAGCTGTCAACTTTCTATCTTGCCTTTGTTCGCCTTTTCATTAATACCTCTTGAGTCTTTGAGAGATACTTGCCACATCTTGGCAATTGTAGGCTGTTTCCCACATGAGTTTATGTAGCAAATCATCTAGAATGAAATATTGAATCAATATATTTTGACATGGCGATTGGCTATATTTTTATTGACAAATTGAGCAGCCAAAAACTTCCACATCATTTTATACCTAGGTCTCTTGATGCCTGATCAGTTGAGATCCCTAGGATCTTGACGCGATTTAAATGACTACTCTGAAAATGTCTACTTAGCATTCTTGTTAATTTACCATATTTAGCTCATGGCAGTTTAGTTATGGAATACTTCTTGCTCGTCTTCCTTGTTGCATATTAATATATATGGCGACTGTAATAGTTCCCTATTCTTTTACACCCGTTTGAGAACAGGCTAATTTAGTAACTTTTTGGCTATTTGGCTAAAATATGAGCTAAAAAAAACTAGTATGTTTGGGATGACTTTTTGGCTTTTTACGAAAAGATGTGCAAAAAGTAGAGAGAAAAGAGAATCTTTGACTTTTTGGTATGAGTTGTTGGCTTTTTGGCTAATTTAGTAACTTTTTGGCTTTTTGGCTAAAAAGTTTGGTTGCCAAACGAGGCCTATCTCATTTATATTTTGTATCTGTAATCAAATTATGGTAAAATCCAGGGATGAGGAGCTGGCAACAGAAGTAGCATGGGTGGTTGTGTATCTTTCAGCCCTTTCAAATGTTGCTTTCGGCATGTTGGTGAAGAGTGATCTCCTTCAATTACTTGTGGAAAGACTGGCAACATCAAATAGCTTGCAATTGCTCATTCCGGTAACATGCAACATAAATAAGTAAATTGGCCTTTAAGTGATTTCTTTTACTAAGTAATGCAATTAGTATTTTGAATAATTGACATGTCATTTAGATACTCCTTTCTACAATCTAGAAGTCTTTATTGAGTCTTGATTTTAGTTTAGCGACATTTCATGTCAAGTTGCTAATTGGTGCTAAATGACTAAATTGTCCTTTTGGTGGAATATTTGCAAGAAAATAGGGCGTTAGGTGACTGAATTTGTTCATTTGTTAACTAACTTTAACATATACATATATGTTGGCCCTTGTCTTTGACCAATTGATGCAGAACGTGTATGCGCACTATATAGATTTAATTTAGGGTAAATTACACTTTACCCCCTTTATGTTTGGCCTTTAAAATTTTATTTTTCTCACTTTGACTCTTCATGTTTCGAGTTTTTTCCAATTTACTCCAAAAACTAACTTATTTCCAAAATTAGACAGAAAATGACACATTGATAGTCACGTGACATAATTTTTTTTTATATTATAATTTAGATATAACTCACACCTCTGACACAAACTCAAATCCCAATGTTATAATATATTTTTTATGTCATGTGGCAACTTTTCTATCTAATTTTGAACAGAAGTTAGCTTTAGGAGTAAATTGGGAAAAACTTGAAACATTAAGGGCCAAAGTGGGAAAATGGCCAAACATAAAGGAGGCAAAGTGTAATCTACCCATTTATTTTATTTCATAATATAACTTTTAAGTTTTAATGCATATGTTTATTTATAGTAAATTAGAATATTAGCAATATTGAGTTTCTTATTATATTAGGGATCAAGTTCCAATAATATTATTAGTATTCGGTTTCCTATTTTGCATTGGGGTTTTAACCCATAAGTATTAGGTTTTTGTATTGTAATAGTTAGTTTTGGAAAAAATATTGTTGTGGCTGTGTGTGTTTGGGTGCCTTCTTATTCTCTCCCCGTCTCTCTTTTCTATTGTGTTTCTCTCGATCATCTCTTTTCGCTCGAACTACATCAGTTAGTATCAAAGCTCAAATTCGATCCATCTTTTCTGTTCGATTCATGTGACTGCCTTCTTCACAAGTCTCGTCCTATTGAACCATCATCAGATCCATCTTTGAAAGTAAAAAAAAGAGAAGAAAATGTTCATATGCAACCAACACTCCACCATCACAACTCCCATTGACACAGCAAGTTTCCTTGTCGTGTTCTCTGAGCCTAAGAGAAATACCTAGAACCTATACAACTTTTGTTGAATCGTCAACTAGTTGAATTTCATAGCAGAACTCAGTCAGTGCCATTGCTTCATCACTGTCATCGTTGCTGAAATTTCATCATTCAGTACATAACGTTTGCCAATGAGGGGATCTTGCTTTGACCTGCTGGAAATATATATATATATATTGGGACAATATTTCTGTGTCTTTGGCAGAGCAATTGTGCCGCAGAAGCTTGGGTTTCAATAGGAGAAAGATGATGGTCCCAAACAGAAAGGAAAAAAAAATGACGTCCCAACCCAAATTGACCCAGATAATATTCCACTAAACTAACCCAGCAACTGCCTAGCTAAAACTAAATCCCAATTCAGCCCATATGTACTTGACTCAGCCCACTAAGCTAAACATGGGTCCATAATCAGCTCAGAAACCTCCCAAATAATGGCTTGCCCACCTAAAGTAACCCAATTCGTGCCTCAATAAGCCAGCCCCTTCAACACATAACAGGTCCAATCCGAGTCACAGCTTTCTGATCACAGCAGTACCTGTTCAACCCCATATTAAACCCAGTCCAATTCAAAAAAGAAAAAAGAAACCCCTTTTTACCCCCATTAACCATGTTCACTAACGTGGAGTTATACTAAAAATTTGATGCGTTACATCAAAACCTACAAGGATTTAAGGCCTCCCCAAACCAAATGTCAGCACAATTGGCCAAAATGCAGTCAAATTTGGATAGAGTGTTGGTCCTTGTTTAGGAGATATTTTGGACATTACTCAAAATGCTTGTGTGGATCATATGAAAAATGTTGACCAAGTCATTCTAATGTCTGAGGAAAGTGAAATTCTTTTGGAAGAACATATGGGAGTCCAAGATGCTGTTCTCACACCAACAATGCTCCTACTGAAAGAAGAGCTTCTTGAATTTACAGACGCATTCAATTTGTCGGATCCTATTGATGTCCCACCAACTGATTAGTTGGTCAAGTTCAAAAGGATTGATTTTATCGGTATTGAAGCTTTCTTTTGTGTAGTCAATAGATGTTTGGTGGACCTTGTCAATAGCCTAATTACAGGGATTCGTTTAACTGAAACAAAGATCAGACAGTAAAGCATATTCCGAGTACTTGATTCTGTGGTATGGAAGAGTGCAATAATTCAGAGTGAACTCGAGGTCGAGTTCTTTTTCTCAGTCGGGGAGAATGATGTGGAATGTGTATGCGCCATGGAGATTTAATTTAAATCATATTGTTATTTTTAATACATATATTTATTTCTTTTATTTGTAGTTAATTAAGGTATTAGTAATATTTAGTTTCTTATTATATTAGGGATTATGTTCCAATAATAATAGGATTCGATCTCATATTTTGAATTAGGGTTTTTATTCTATTAGGTTTCTACATGGTAATAGTTAGCTTTGAATATTATTATGTTTAAGGTTGTGGCCATTTGTATTAGGGCTGTGACTCTCTTCTTCTTCTTCTCTCCCCCTCTTTTGTGTTAGGGCTGACTCTCCTCTTCTTCTCTCCGTCTTCTCTATTCTATTTCCCTACTGCATACTATATCACCAGTTAGCAGTAACAATAGGAGACGGCTATAAATGCAAAATGCATCTGTAACATGGATGTGTCTGTTATTGTTTGTTTTACCCTATTTTGACTACTCTTGTAGGATGAGTACTGGTTACATGACACCACAAAAATTATTTTCATTTTAATGAGCATGTAATCGGATTGGAGAGAATATCCAATGCATGTAATTGTGTGGTCACATTGTTTGTGAAGTAAGATTGATAAGAGCATTTTAAGTGAGATATTAGCAGTAAAACATTCTTCAAAATGCATTTTCTTGCAGTTTATTAATCATCCCTCCATTTTCTAAGCTTATGTCACTGACTTACTGCAAGGTACAAAATCTTGAGGTTACATTAAATAATGGACAAAAATAGTAGTTGAACGATATGTAACACCTTTCGTTGCTTGACATGTATGTCAATTTGTGTGTAAATTAAACAGTAAATGGAACTAAAAATTAAGCTCATAAATTTCTGGAATTATTTCTAGGTCTGAACCTTTTTGACATTTTTTTTCAGGTACTGCGTAGTCTAGGTAATCTTGTTGCCGGTGATGCTCACACAACTAATGTTCTTGTTGCTGGACATGGAATCACAGGCTAGTTTATTACATTTATCTCTTGCTAAGAGGTGAAACTTCTGTTTTTCATCAGATCCTGTTTTGTTAATGCCCGGCATTTTATAATGTTTCCAGATAATGTCATAGCAGCTCTAATTAAATGTCTGAAAAGTGAGCACCGGGTATTGAAGAAGGTATGTTTTTATGCCTTTATTGTTATACACCATTAAAATTGATCAAAGATTCTCACTCGACGCTTTCAATGGTGTAGGAAGCAGCTTGGGTGCTATCTAACATAGCAGCTGGTTCCATTGAACACAAGCAGTTGATTTATTCAAGTGAAGCTGTACCATTGTTACTGCGACTACTTTCAACAGAACCGTTTGATATAAGAAAGGAAGTAGCATATGTTTTAGGTAACCTCTGTGTTGCTCCTTCTGAAGGTTCCGGAAGGCCAAGTTTGATTCTGGATCACTTGGTTTCCCTTGTCAGTAAAGGATGCCTTCCGGGTTTTGTAGATTTGGTCAGGTCTGCCGATACTGAGGCTGCAAAACTAGGACTTCAATTCATGGAGCTGGTAAGAATTATCTATTCAGTTTTTGCTTAATAGACCATATCAATTAGCAAGAGGCTCTTTATTTCTTGTTTTTTTCATGGCTTCTTGATTGTTTCTATTAGATTACTTCTATGAAGCACCGACATTTCAAAACAAGTGCTGTATCCATCTTGGGATACTCGGATACAGTGGGGACACGTATGGGACATGCCATGGCATGTCCTCTTATTTAATTAATTTATTTTTAGGGAACACTTTAGGGACATGCTAAGTTGTCTTTTTTCTCATTTTCTTTAGTGTTTTTGATGAATGTTGAATATTTATTATATTTTCTTAGATTTAAATACTTAATAAATTATTCATAAAAATATATATATATATAAACTATAAGTGTTAATTTAAAAGTGTTTTTTTTTAAAATATATATAGAATTAGAGTTGTTTTTGTTAATATTGGATGTTTGTGAATATAATATTAATCTAGATAGCAAATAAAAATATGTAAAAACATATTTTATTACCGTGTCCCTGCTCTGTCTGTATTTCCATTTTTTTGAAATCGCCGTGTATCGTGTCCATGTTTCTTAGGATTACTTTGACATTTCTACTCTTGCCATATCTGGCGCACTAGGGTACACAATTAGCCACTTAGAAATTGTTCAGTATTTGACACCTCAGTTGTTCTTAATCCAGCCATACGATCCCATACTCACGTAGGTGTGTCTGGTTCCATACTCGACGTGGTGGCTAGCTTTGATACCAAATGATACTAAACTCACGCTTGAAAACCGGCTAGGATTCCCAAAAATATTTTATGCAAATGGCCATGGCCTATATTAACCGATGTGGAATCGTAACACACACCCCTTGTAAAACACCATAAATCTGAGTTCTATATGCATTAAAAGATGTTAGGACAAACGATATTTCTGGTCTTGACAGCTGGATAGACTCCTACATGAGAAACAACGGCCATGTTTGCTCCGTGCATCAAACCATTATTTCCTTAAATTGCACAAGAATACCTCAGTATGAATGTGGATTGTGTTGTAAACTTGTAATGCATTCACAGTGAATTTTAAAATGGAGTCACAATTAACAAGTTCCCTTCCGGTTAACTAAACAATGTTTGATTTTTTGTTTCGTGTGCAGGTCTTAAGGGGGATGCCAAACAGCGAGGGTCCAAAGCTTGTTGAGAGAGAGGATGGGATCGATGCCATGGAAAGATTCCACTTAAAAATTTACAAAAAATTGATCAATATTTATTTTTAACCCAATAAATATGATCATGGGAAAAAAATATGCGCATCGGTAAATTTTTTTCAAATTGTGCGAAAAATAAAAAAATTCACGGTTCCGGTTACCACAACCGTTATACTACGGCCTTTACACCCCGCAACCGCAACCGCGTCACCGCCACCATTACGGCGACCGCAACCGCTTTTCAGAACCTTGCTTGTAATGCATTCACGGTGAATTTTAAAATGGAGTCACAATTAACAAGTTCCCTTCCGGTTAACTAAACAATGTTTGATTTTTTGTTTCGTGTGCAGGTCTTAAGGGGGATGCCAAACAGCGAGGGTCCAAAGCTTGTTGAGAGAGAGGATGGGATCGATGCCATGGAAAGATTCCAATTTCACGAAAATGAAGAGCTTCGAAACATGGCTAATGAACTGGTTGATACATATTTTGGGGAGGATTATGGGCTCGATGAGTAAAAGGAGAATTGTGAACCGAGTGACTGATCCCATCTCCCACTCCCATGTACGCAATTGGCGCACATTGAGTTGGCCTCATCTTTTGTGCAAGTTAAAATCAATCATAGAATTTGCCAAATGTTGTTCATAGTTTTGACTGTGAAGACAAAAAGTTCAGTCTTGTAAACTTTGGTGTAAGCATATCAGCTAAAGCGGTGTTGATTATGTTGATTATGTATCCTCCGGTATACGGTAGTGTTGTAAGAAACTGTCATTGTTCTTGGCATGTGTCCTATTGTGGAATTGTATTTTCGGCTGAAGATTATAAGATCGAAGACGAACAGTCCAGCTTGTGATCATCTTGACGTTTTGACGGGAAAAATGGGCTTGCTTTGTTTTTTTGTTTTTTGTTTTTTGGGCACAAACAGAGAACATCAGTATTTTGTGGTATTTCAATCTTTTTCCATTTGGTTGACAAGTTAAGAATTGAGAGTGGTAATTTCTATAAAATTATTACATATTTATGAAAAAATTTACGATCTTAATTATCAATATTTATAAAGTTTATCACTCATTTGTATTTATTTTTCTGAACATCCATTGAAAAGTAATTTTCCCTATTATTAATAAAAGTGGGTGCAATTAGTAATTTGTCTAATAATTATTTAAATCGGTTTGAGATAAACTTTCCTTGGGGATTTTGATGTTTTTTCCAAGAATAATATTATACAAATAATTAGATGTTGTGATTTGTGGAGATTGAGAAAAAAAAATGAAATAAAAATTAATTAATTTAATATTTTTTTCTTAATATAATAATATATGTTTATTATGTGTTACTTAATGTGACATTTTTTACTTAATTTTAAACAGAAAATTTTTCTACTTAATTTTAAAGAAAACTTTAAGAATAAATTGACAAAAATTTGAATCATAAAAAGTTAAAAGTAATATTTGCCTTTTAAGAACGAAAGTGGAAAAATTGTCAAATAAAAGGAGGACAAGTGTGAATTACCTATGAAACTAGCTTTTGTTTAGGAAGAGTTAAAATAGTTTAATTTTTTTTTTTATTTTTTGGCTTTTTAGTTTGGCTTTTTTTAGTCTCGTTTGATTTTTATTTTTAATTTTTTTTAAATTTTTATGAGAGAAAAAAATGTAATGATTATGATTTAAATGTGACATTTTGTGATATTTTAAGAAGTTAATAAAAAGTTGTCTTTTTTACTTTTTTGTATTAAAAAAACTAATTTTTTTTTGTGACTTTTAACTTTTTGTATAAAAAAACTAAAAAGCAAAAAAGTTGACTTTCTTAAAAAGTTCCCAAAACACCTATTTATTTTATTAGTTTATGTAATTAATTTTATCTTTTGTGTTTTTTAGCTAAAAAATAAAATAATAATGTTAGATACTTTAAAATTTTGTGACTCAAATGGCTCAAATAACTTAAAAAGACGTCGTTTTGACAGATTTTGAGTGTAAAATGATATCGTTTTGATAGATTTGAGCCATTTAAACCACAAAATTTTGAGTTTATCAAACATTTTCCAAAATAAAAACCAAACATAACTTAAATATCCAAAATAAAAACCAAACATAACTTAGAGCATCTCCAACGGTTACTCAGATTTTTCACTAAATTTGAGTAAAAAATGACTCATTTTACCAATTTGATACCACTCGCTCCAACGGTGCACTTTCATCAAATTTGTGCCAGGGACAACCGGTTGGTCGACCGGTTAAGCGAAATTTTTATTTTATTTTATTTTATTTTATTTTATTTTTTTTTTGAACTTTTTGAACCTTTTACCGGCTAGGCAAAACTTTTTTTTTTTTTTTTTATTGTTTGAACCTTTTTCTTCGAACCGTTTGAACCTTTAGGCGGTCAACCGGTTGGTCAACCGGCCGGGCAACCGGCTGGTTGACTGGTTGGTCTCTCCCAACGGTTAGGAACAGTGATTTGGTAAAATGCTTCGCCAGTTCTCATTTTGGTACAAGATTTGCTAAATTCTGGATTTGATATCGATTTGGTGAAACCGTTAGAGCTCAAAAAAGTGACTTTTTCATCAAATTTTAAATTTGATATCAGGTTTGCTGAAGCGTTGGAGATGGTCTTAAATATATATTTTTCTCCAAAAGTGTAATTTATCTGAAAAAGGTGTTTCTGAGAAGTTATTTGGTGGTTCTGGGTATAGTCAAGTGGTGTCCATGAGTGTTATAATTGGAAGAGAGTAGGGTCTACAATTGTGTGTTTAGTTTGTCTACATGTGTCCTATTTTTATGATGCTCTGGTATACAAGTGTCCTATTTTTCACCTTTGCCCTTGGACCAGATGATAATTTTGGTGTTTCTTCGTCTAGCCCAAACCCAAAGCCAAATCTCTGCCAGTATTTCTCTTTCTTCCACATACATCTCTCTCTCTCTCTCTCTCTCCATAGATATATATATATATATGGGAAACCCTTCGCTGAAGGCCGTGACTCTGACCCACGTTCGGTACCAGAAGGGGGATCAATTAGGGCATTTCTTGGCATGGATCTCTCTCGTCCCCGTCTTCATCAGCCTCGGTGGTTTTGTCTCCCACTTCATCTTCCGCCGGGAGCTCCAAGCCATGTTCTTTGCTCTGGGCCTCATCATCTCCCAATTCATCAACGAATTCGTCAAGACCTTTGTCCAACAAGCTCGTCCCGAGACCTGTGCTCTCCTCGAGACGTGCGATTCGCACGGCTGGCCTTCCAGCCACTCTCAATACATGTTCTTCTTCGCTGTCTATTTCACTCTCTTGACCTATTACAGAATCGGGTTGTTGAGTAGGAGGCAAATGTGGGTTGCTGGGACTGTTGTTTGGCCTCTGGCTTTGTTGACTATGTATTCTAGGGTTTATTTAGGCTACCATACTGTTGCACAGGTGTTTGCTGGTGCTGGTCTAGGGTTTTTTCTTGGGGCTGGGTGGTTTTGGGTCGTTAATTCTTTGCTTAGAAGTTTCTTTCCCGCTATCGAAGAGAGTGCATTTGGGAGGTTGTTTTATGTTAAGGATACATCACATATACCCAATGTGTTGAAATTTGAGTATGAGAATGCGCGAGCTGCTCGGAAACATGTGTCTTACAAACGATCTGATTGATCCGAAGATTGACTCTGTAAGTGGGTTTTTAATGCATTTTTGCTTTCTGAAATATTTACTAGTCAGTTTGATAAATTGTTCTTTTTTGGTTCAATAATCCGTGAACATATGTTTAGCATGTTTAATGAAATTGACTTGTTTCCAATTTTGATGTTGCTAGTCTAATATGCTAGATATCTTTGAGGATTTGGTGAAATTTCACTTTTAGTTTGCTGGAATTGAATATTTTTTTAAAAAAGTTTTTCTTTGTTGTTACTTTGTGCAGACAAGTGTCTACCAAACATATCATGTTTTAGTCCAATCACTAGTGCGAAAATGGTTCGGGATATGCCTGTTTACTTGAAGAATCTTAATTGATGTAGAGCCTTGTAGGCATTACGTGAAAGTTCCAGGGGCTTGGTGATAGAAAATTCTCCATAATATTGTTAGGTTTACAAGTCATAACCCAACATGTAGGGAAGTCATGCTAATAGAACCCAATTTTGTTTATTGATGGATTCATTTTTGTCCTTGTTCTGAAGTAGGTGTTTACATGCCTTTTTCTAGGCAATTTTTATTGAATGACTTGTGTTGTTCTTTTTTTTCTTTTCTTTGAAGAGTAAAATATTATTGGAAAGAAAGTCACCAAGGGGATGTCACCTGAATACATCAAAGTAGGAACAACCATATGCAAACAAAAGCTAGACAAGGTCACTAAAGATCCAATAGATAATTGTACTCATAAATCTGAAGTGTCAACTAAATCTAAGTTTTGCTCCAGGTTAGGTCTAACACCCTAGAGATTCGACTATACAAAATTACAACAAAACAACTCTTAAGCTTATATAAAGGACCCTCTCCTCTTCTATTACATTCTCCCCAAATGATAACACACGATAAGGTTGAAAGCCAAGGATTCCTCCCCGTCCCCACCTTACCATGCCACCAAGTGTGTAAGAAATCCACTATTGTCGAGGAAACCCAAGACATCATGAACAACCAAAGGCTAAAATTCCACTACTCTACCGTCTAACAATGTAACAGAAGATGAGCCACTTTTCTCACCCTTCTTACACATGTAACACCAATTAACTGTAACATGACATCTCCTCCTCAGATTAGCAAAGGTAAAAATTGTCTCATGAGCTACATTTAAAAGAAAAGAAAGAAAAAGAAGCCCTATCATTGAAAGGGGCTCCAATTGACCAAACCCCTTTCCAAGAAAAGAAGCCTTACCGTCTACTAACAAAACTCTATAGAAATTCTTTGTCTCAAACTTACCTTGAGAAGAAGGAACCACCAAAAGGCATTTTGATTTTCACCAAAAATTGGAATCTCATAGAGAAGTTGAAATAAGGCTATAAGCTTATACATAGACCTTCAATTTTGTAGATGCCTTCTGAAGGATGTCTCAAAAGGTATGACTCTCTCAAGTGTATGTCCCAAAAACAACCAGTTCTTGATCCCCTAATATTAGGAACTCCTCACTTGTGTCAAGTATCAACTTGCTTCCTACTACAACTTATTCCCAGATCACCAACTCCAGATCTACCTGTTAACAACTCTCCTTCACCTGTAGCCTCATTCCCCAGCACAAAAGCTTCCTTTGGGCATCCAAAGCCGCCCTCCTACCAGGAGAGAACCAGCCCATGAAAGCCTTCTTTTTTCCAGCCCTAGAACACTCCTTCAACACTGCATTGTCACTGGCCACAACCCCACAACCCCTGTTTTCCGTTAGGTGTTTGTCGACCACAAAACTTTCCTTTCAATCATGACATTCTGTTTTTATGGAATTCTTTTTCTGTTAGTTAGTAGAATAGTCAAAGTGGCCTTTTTTTATTACCTAATATTATGCAAAGTTGTCAATTTATCAAATTGGGTAAATTACATTGATCTCTTTTGAAATTTATGACAATTAAAGAGACGTCTCTCAGGTTTGTGAAATGACATTCTTTTTGGTTCTGTTGTATGTTGAAAATCCCTCCTTCTGTTTGTGTCGTTAGTTAGAGCATCATTATCAAGCTCATTAGAGCCTTTTCTTGACTATTTTATAGTACAAAATCATAAAAATACACTCCATCAAACTCAATTATTGGCTAGCTATTTTAGTTGAATGTCAAACCACTAGTTACATGTAGTTAGGGAAAGAAGATTCAACAAATGAAATAAAGAATAAAGAGTTTGTTGAAAAATGTATTTGAAAAGATGGTTTAGCTAAAATAGAAAAATAGACTTTTAGTTAAAACTTAACTAAAATTTTGACTTAATTTGATGGAGATGTTCTTAGTGGCACAGAATTTGCTGAGCTCAATAGAACTTCAGCTTCGAATTTTCCAATATCCTCCATATCATTGCTTTAAAGACAAATTTGCCTATGATTTACCCTTTGATTATACTTGTTCTCTCTCGAGCAGAGTGAAACATCATTCGTAGGGAAATAGTGCAGTGCACCAAACGACAGGCTGAAAACAAGTGGGGCTTGGCTGTACCCTATCCCTTGTCCCTTTTCTTAATCCCACACTCCAAATGCAGGACTATTTTTGAGGTGGGATGGCCCGATTGTCCCTCTTCACTCTTTGTCCCCCATTTAATTCAGTCTCAAACATGGCCATAATAAACTAAATATAAAGAAAATTGAGTATTTGCAGGATAAAATAAAATGTTAAAAAGTTGGTTATGATGCTCCTATAAATGTGTTTTTACATGAATAATTTGAAATAAAATAGGCCATTATTATTGAATGTCTAATAGTTAAAAGAAATTGCTATAGAATTACCTTAAATTTCAATAATATAAATACTAATGTATACAAGTTTACTCATATTGTGCCACATTCTAGAGCAATGTGGCGTGCCATGTTCTTATTCCCGTTCCACGCACTAGAATGATATATGTTCTACGTAACTTAGGTCCCAACTGAATTTTGATCAAGAAAAATGGAAAAAATGGGACTCCTTGAAATTTATGATATTTTTTAATGCCTGTAAATATTATAAAAATACATTTGTTTATCGTCACTATTTTTTCAGTTTTTCCTTATCTCATGCATAGCAGTGGTTCGCTATCGATATTTTCCTGTTTGTATATATTGATTTGGGCATAAAGTTGAACCTAAAGTGAAGAAGTCACTACCCTGTGAATGGGAATGAGAATTTGTTTTTTAATAGTATTGGTTGTCATTGAATGGATTCACTAGTTTCCTAATTATTATTTTTTTGCGAACACATAGAATGAATTATTATTATAGAAATGAAAGATGTAAAATGAAGCCCAAACAATTCCAGAGGAAACACAAAACAACCCCTCACAGCTAAAGGTTCATGGCTACTACTTGATACCCTAGGCACACAACACATAAAAATAACTTTTAACAACATAAGAGGATAGGTAACGGACAAAAATTTTCTCACAATTGGAGTGGCCGGACAAAACATGAATTCTAGAGCATGTGGCTACCATGTTTTCATTCCCGTTCTACATACTAGAATGATCCATGTTCCGGGTAACTTATGTTCCATCTGAATTTTGACCAAGAACAAAGGAAAAAATTGGGGCTGTTTGGGATTTATGATATTTTTCAATGCTTATAAATATTATAATATACATTTGTTTATTGTCATTATTTTTTTAGTTTTTCTTTATGCCAAGCATAGCATTGGCTTGCTACCAATATTTCTTCGTTTGTGTATATTTATGTATACATGTGTATACAAGTACTAATTTGGGCATAAAGTTGATCCAAAGTGAAGAAGTCACTTCCTTGTGAATGGGAATGAGAACATGTGTTTTTTTCTAATATTGTTGGTTGTCATTCCATGGATTAGTTAGTGTCTTCATTATTATTATTACTATTTTTTTTAATAACTCATAGGATGAATTATTATTGTTGAAATGAAAGATGTAAAACAAAGACCCAACATGAAAGATGTAAAACAAAGCCAAAACAATTCCAAAGGAAACACAAAACAACCCCTCACAGCTAGAGGTTCATGCCCACAGCTTGAGAGCCTAGGCAGTCAACACACATAAAAACAACCTTTAACAACATAAGAGGATAGGTCAAACAAAAAGCTTCTCACAATTGGGGTGGATGGGAAAAACATGAAAAGCTGAAACCAGGAGACTACTTCAAACCTTTGCTACTCCTTGTTCCTTTTGGGAGGGTTCACCCTTGTGTAATGAGAACCATACAAGGTAGAAGCATCACTAGAACAAAAATTAGGTCTCTTTGGGGATGGAACCCAGCTTCTCTAGCAATAGCTGAACCAAGAGACTGGAACCTGGTATCATTTCTCCTTGACTTGTTTTCCTAGCTAAAATCTACTTTGCCTTTGCCTTTGCCTTTTATTTTTTCTTTCTTTTTAGAACTCGTATTCTCTTCTTTTTTCATCTCATATAGCAAGGACTTTTGTAGGTTTATCTTGTCCGCTTCTGTCCTGACTTCATTAGATTTTTCCGTAACAGCTTCTTGGATTTGGTCCTCCTGATTCCACTCTTGTTTTCTGGCCTTCTTTTTCTCTTTCTTACAAGAATGACCGAGTACATTGCATTTGTCACACTTTAGAGGTTTCCAAGAGTATTCCACCTTTATGTCAAACTTCTGACCCTCTTCAAATTCTAGAACAAAAGAATCTAGGAAAATATTTTCGTATGACACTTCAACACATGCTCTAGCATATGCTATACAGCTTCTAGTAGCCGTTGGTTCATCCAATTTAATGAGCCTCCCAATGGGACTAGCAATCAAGCTTAATCCCTCATGTGTCCAACATTCTATAGGAACATTGAAAAACTTCACCCACATCGTAACATTATTCAATTGCTCCTTTTCAAGTTTGAGGCTTGGTTCCCATGGTCTAACAACAATCAATTTTCCTGCAACATGCCATGAACAACCTTCTAGCACAAGTTTGCTCCCTTTTGCATTTTTAAATTTAAACAAGAAAAAACCATTGTCCATTGTAAGAACATCAACAAGCCCATATTTCCCCCAAAGTTTCTCGGCTGTGTTTTTAACAAGCGTGTAAGGAAGCTTGTGCTTAATGAAATGTCCAACAATCCACCCTCTCCCAAGAGCTTCACCATCTTTACAAATATCCTTAGATAAAGCAATTGATTTTTTTTCGCTTTCACTCCTGGGGTTGGCATGTGCAAGGTTAATGGGATCACTTGGTGTTTCTTGATGCAAAGGAGCCCAAATTCTAACAGGTTGGGTCTTCGTATTGAGATCAGATCCAACCCTTATAATAAAGTTCGGAGCTGGAGTTGCACTGGCAGTACAACCCAAAACCACTGGCTGTGTATCAGTATGGCTAATAGTACTGGTTGTATCCAAGCGGCATATAGGTGTAAGACTCTTTGAATTTAAATTTTCTGTTGAAACAGGTGGTGAGTAATATGGGTGACAATTAAAATTTAAACCTTTACTCACCACTTCTGGCCCTTCCATGGATGTGCCGACTGCAGAAAGTTTTTCCTTTGCCTCTTTAATCACCCCCACCTGACTTGTGCAGCCATCATGTTGAGAGTTGTTTCTAGCTAAAATGGAAGCTTTTTGTCCACAAGCACGTGTCTGAATCTGATTGGATACCAGGTGCTGTTCCATAGACTCGCAGTGCACCAAATCAGCCCCAACATTAATTGCCAACAAATGAACAGTTGAGGCATTATTGTGGTTTGTTACACCTCCTCTCTCAGGCATCTTCTGAAGTGCGTCACCTTCACTCATCCTTTTTTCTTCGAATGAATCTTTCGTACCAGTGTCTCCAGGCTTCTGTGCTGTAGTACTGCTGGCAGAAATTCGATTTTTTTGCAGCTCTCCAACCTTCTCATCGTCTTTGTCTTTGATATGGCCTTCACAATTAGAGTGCCATTCTGAGCTTCCGTGAGAGCAACCTTCATCTTCAGATTTAACTGTTGCTTCCTTATTTGTTGGTGAGGATCCACCATAATTGTTAACTGCTGTTTCCTCACTGGTGCTTCGGTTTGCATATCTCTTGGTGCTCTTTGTTAATTGGATTGAGGCAATTGCTTTTGGAAGGAAGCTAAAATCGATTGGAGATCTAATATTCGCCGATTTGATTTTGTTTCTTCTTTTGCTTGCTGAATTCCTTCCCATTCTTGCCAAGAATATAGAGAGATCTAGAGAGAGAGAATTTTGTAGAGAGAGAAGCTCTGAAGTTTGCTTCTCGGCTTTGGTAATCTGTTATTAATATCTCTCAAGTCGCTGAGAGTCACTTGCCACGTGTTGGGAACAGTACTGTAGGATGAGACATTTACCAGGGGCAAGGTGCTTTTGGTGGTTGAAAGATAATTTTGTTTATAGGCAAGAAAAAAAATAGCCTAGTTCAGGCTAAAATTCACAAAAAGACAAAATAGGCTAAAATAGCTAATAAGACAAAATATCACATCAAATCCATAATCATTTCACTTTTTCTCTCACAAACGTCACATCCAACCACAAAAAAATCCAATCATCTTCCCAAACACAAAAATTTTAGCCTACTAAAATAGCCAAAAACTAAAATAGCCTACTAAAATAGCATCTTCCCAAACGAAGCCAGAGTTGGTGTTAAGTATGAATAGAAAGGTGTTGTTTTGACTGTCTAATTGGTAACTAGTTGTAGATCAACTTAAGTTATGGAAAATGGCTGCAATGCAAATGATGATTTATGTTATGAAATGCTGGGTAGTATTCTCTATGATACATCATTTAGAACATTGTGGTGTTGCATAATTAGGATGTTGTATTGGGTATGAGGCACAATAGGTAGTGTATTAGTATAAAATGAAGGGAACATTACCAATAAACGGTAAATGGGGCAAGAAGTAACATTTATCAAGAAAAAATAAAAATGGGGCAAGAAATAACAAAATAATTACCCTAAAAAAAGGTGGGGAATCTTTTTAAATTACACTAACAATGGAAAGTGAAAAAATAATTACAAAATCATGGATTTCTAAATTTCCTTTCCATTTTTATTCCTCTCTCTCTTTTCCTTTCGTTCTTCTTCCTTCCCTCCCCCCACCACCAGCCACTCCTTGCCCACCCCTCCTCTGCCACTGCCAGACCCTCCTTGCCCCTCTGCTACCACTCCCCCTCCCCTTCCCGTTTCCTCACCCCACATCCTACCCCCATCCCTTGCAGTTGCCATGCATCCCTATCCCCTAGTGACCTGGTGTGCAAAAACCCTAACTACTTCCTCTGATCTGTTTCTTTTTATTTTTGTTATTTATTATTATATATTTTTTTGGATCTGATTTGTCTATGTGAAGACAATCATATTCTGATCAGAGATTTGATTATTTTTTTTATTTTTATTTTTTGTGAATGTTTGATGCAATATGGCAGGTTGAATTTTTGTGAATCTTTATTTGGTTTTGTTTCTGTGAATGTAAATGTTTGGATCTGATTTGAAAACTGGTTATCTGGATTTGGGGGATGGACGGCGACGGCGACGGCGGGGAGGGTGCCGGAGATGGGAGGAGGCGTTGGTGGGGATGAGTTTAGAAATCCATGATTATGCAATTACTTATACACTTTCCATTGTTGGGGTAATTTATAAAGATTCTCCACCTTTTTGTTACTTTTTGCTCCACTCGCCATTTATTAGTAATTTCCCCTAAATGAAAACATAATGAGTTGTATTCTTTGGTGGGGCTTATTAAGGGCGGCAGAGAGAATTTTGTTACGTTTGTTATTGTGTAATGTAGACTCACGTTTATAATAATCCCAGTAATAAATGAAGAGCAAGTTTCTTTCAGTACTCATTCAAAAAAAAAAAAATTTCTTTCAGTAGGTGGTGGTGCTACAAGGCGAAGAGGTAAGGATAGACCGAAAAGGTAAAGATGAGTTCTGTCGCAATTGATTTCAAGAAATTTTCCCTGGTGTTCAAGCTGTCTTAATAGTATAAGATTGGTTTCCTCAGCTCCATGTAGTTAAAAGCATTCGAGTCTTTGTTTGAGTTTACTAATGATGTCTCCAAATTTGTTTATAACATAGGACACAGGCTTTTACCCTGAAATTCTCTCTCTCTCTCTCTCTCTCTCGTATTTGTTTATTTTGTATGTGTGTCCGGAGAAATTCCTTGGTGTATTCATATATATCTTCATGATTTAAAGTGCTCTATCTCATTGTTTCTTTGCCAGGTGCATTGCTTCATATCATGTGATCCAGGAGGATGGAGGATTTCATTTCTACCTATACAAGAAAAGATCAATCAAACAAATGCTGACTCTCATTTGGATATCTCTTTGTTGTAGAACACATATTATTTGGGAAGCAAATACAGTTTAAATCTGTTCTTGCTTTATTGTCTTTCAGAAAGAGCATGTCAGGATATATACTATCAACTGTTCAGCAATGTCATTGTAATAACTAGTTTGAGCATAGCTAATTCACTGGATTTTATTTCTGTATTTTTCTTTTTGGAAAGTTCTACATTTTAGCACTTGCAACCACCTCACACAGGAAACTATCTCCAAGGACCAACAAACACCTTTGGCCTTTGGCCACCATCTCCCTCCAACAACAACCTTTGACCATCTTCTCTTTTTTTTCAAAATGAATTTTTAAAATACGTGGGTACTAAACATGTTTTTTTTTTTTTTTTTTTTTTTTTCTTATTTTAAAAGAAAAAAGATAAACATGTTTAGCGTTTTAAAAATCAATAAATTGTAAATGTTGTCAAACATTATAATTTTCTTTTGATATTAAAACAAAAGATCGAAAATTGTAAATAGTTTCCAAGATGTCTAAATTATTGTAATAAAAAAGTTGTTTCATTAGTTTTAAAAATAAGTAACCTGATTCTCAAAAAAACAAAGAAAAACAAAAATTATCATATTTGGCCATTCATCCTCCACCTGACGACCTCCTTCTACCTCTTAGCATTGGCATCCTCCTTCGACTTACACCAACTACCTCTTGTCAGCAACAATCACCTCTAACCATTTCTTGTCAGCAACAATCACCTCCGACCATATCCTCGCGTTGACAATCATCTCTAGGTGTCACCCACCATCCTTTTGTCGATAATCACCTGTAGTGTTCGACAACTACTATCAATTATTACATCCCGCAAGCAACCCGCCTTTGACTACCTCCTCTAATTTCTTTATCAAATTAAGTTCTTGAAATACATATATACAAATATGTTTTTGTTTTTACTTTTAACAAAAATAAAAATTATACATGTTTAATTTGTGTATTACACTAATTGCTTTTAAAATTTATGATAATTCCTAATGCCTCTTTAGATTTTTAAAATAGCAGTAACTCCCCTGAGTTGCTCTCTGTTAAGATTGTGTCATTTTTAGTTTTACCGTTTACCCTTAGTTAATATGTGAAATAACTGCACTAATATTTGGCGTACAAAGGAGCTATTGAACTCTAATACTGTGTTTGGTTGAGGGATTTGAGGAGGGATTTGGAAAAGGAAATGGAAAAGGTAGGTGAAATGTGAAAAAAATATACCTACATTTCACATAGTTTCACACACCTTTTCCCTTTCCTTTTCCAAATCCCTCCCCAAATCCCCCTAACCAAACACAGCATAAAGGAATTGTATCAAAATTTGCCAAGGTTGCTCTTAGTTCGTTTACTATGTAATCCACATATTTAAAAAAAAAAAGGGAAAAATAAATATTAAAAAAAAAAAATCTCAGGGTTTGACTCTAGTAATAAAATAAAATTTTAATTTTTAATTTTATCAATTTAAATTCTAAATTTTTTATTTGCTTTCAATCTAAATCATTTATTTTTCTATTTTCGTTAAGTAAAGTCGATGAAAAAATTGATAATTTAGTCATTAAACTCAAATCCTATATATATATATATATATTTGTAATTGTCTCATTTTTATTTTTATTTTGAAAAATAGTTTTATTGAGAAAAAAAACAATTACTATTTTATTTTTGGGTAAAATTTATTTTAACCCCTTGTGGTTTGAGGTCAGAGCATTTTACCTCCTATGTTTCAAATATAGCCAGAAAATTTTCATATAATTTTAAATTAAAATGCCATTGTTAGTTTTTCATCCAAACTAAGGAAAAGTGTTTCATACACACTATTTTTTTAAGAGTAAGCCCTTTTTTTGGAAAAAAATAAATTAAAAGTAACAAAAAAAAACAAAAGCAGACAATTTTGCTCCCATCTTTTCCAAATGTAAAATTTGATTAAGATGTTAATTCAAATAAAATAAAATAAATAATAAATAATGATTGATCTAAAGAATAATTAAATTAAGATATAAAATAAATAAGAATTAATGATTGATCTAAAATATAATTAAATTAAAATTAAATTAAGATGATAGAAATTATAATAAATAATTAAGGATTTAGAATTAATTGTGATATAAAATTTAAGGATTATAATAAATAATTAAAGATTTTGAATTAATTTTGATCTAAAATATAATTAGATTAAAAAGTTAGGATTTACGATAAATAATTAAAGATTTATGATTAATTGAGATTTAATTGAATTAATGTTAGAAATTATAAATTATGTATATGAGAGAGGAGATAAAAAGGAAATAACCAAAAAACATAGGGATTAAGGGTATTATAATCATTTCAGATACAAAATTAACGGAGTTAATCGTTACCCTTTGATCAAATATTAGAAGGAAGATTCTGACAATATTTCAACCACAAGGGATAAAGTGCTTTAACCTTAAATCACGAGAGGATAAAATAAATGTTGTCTTTTATTTTTTAAAGGAAAAAATCACTCTTTTTTTTTTCTTTTTTGTGTGTGTTGAAAAAAAAATCAATTTATATTGTATTTATAAAGTTATAGGTATAAAAAAATAAATAAATAAAAACCAGGTTTGAATTTTTTAAGAAACACACTATTGCAGGTGGAGTGCTGATGGAGGATTAGTAATTTTCACTGCTGTAGGGTTGGTCTTTGTTTGTTGGAATGTATGAAAGGTAAAGTGGGGAATTAAAAAGGAATTATGCTTACCCTATCAATTTCTACCTTCTCGTTGAAGGAAAAGTAACCAGTTCAAAACCAGGGAATGACAGTGTCATTTCAAATAGATACTTGTAAGTATTACAAATCTTAAAAGTAGGTTAATGTGATGTACTCCTAATTTTTTTAAAACAAAAATAATGTACTGTAAACATTATCAAATCACACTTAATTATTTCATTATTTTCATTTTTGGAACCATTCTGCACTATTTATGATATAAATTTTTTAACTATTTTCTTTCTTCTTCTTCTTTTGTTTTTTCTTTTTCTTTTTTTTTTAATTTTTTTAATTTTAATTTTTGAGAAAATTACAATTTTTTTTTTTTCAAGATTTGACTCTTGTAATAAAATAAACCTTAAATTTTTAATTTTATTAATTTAAATTCTAATATTTTGATTTATTTTCAATCTAAACATTTGTCTTTTTTTGTTAAGTTAAATGGACGAAAAAAATAGTATTTTAATTATTAAACCCAACATAAAAGGGTATTTTAAACATTTTATTTATATTTACATTGAGTTTAATGACTAAAATATTATTATTTTTTTGTTAGTTTTACTTAACGAAAATAGGCAGATGGTTTGACTTAAAAATAAATAATAAAAAAATAGAATTTAAATTGATAAAATTAAAAACTAAGATTTATTTAGTTATAAAAAGCCCTGTTTTTTTTTTTTATTTTTAAAATTTCCCTTAATTTCTTAACATGCTTAACATTTGCTGCTGCCATGGCTAAAAACCATTTTGGTGTAGTAGATAAGGTACTCTCTAAATAGGCGCGTGACTACAATTTTTCTTCCAAACATACAACTTATTAAAAAATATAATAATAATTTTTTCAATCTAAACATTTATCTTTTTTTGTTAAGTTAAATGGACGAAAAAAATAGTATTTTAATTATTAAACCCAACATAAAAGGGTATTTTAAATATTTTATTTATATTTACATTGAGTTTAATGACTAAAATATTATTATTATTTTGTTAGTTTTACTTAACGAAAATAGACAGATGGTTTGACTTAAAAATAAATAATAAAAAAATAGAATTTAAATTGATAAAATTAAAAACTAAGATTTATTTAGTTATAAAAAGCCCTGTTTTTTTTTTTTATTTTTAAAATTTCCCTTAATTTCTTAACATGCTTAACATTTGCTGCTGCCATGGCTAAAAACCATTTTGGTGTAGTAGACAAGGTACTCCCTTAATAGGCGCGTGACTACAATTTTTCTTCCAAACTTACAACTTATTAAAAAAAATAATAATAATTTATTTTCATGTTCTCTTATCCATGTAAATTTCTTGCAAAGCTCTAAAATTGTGAGATAGTTATTCATTATTTTCGCATGATCATGGCTATAAAGTTGAAGACTTGGGAAAATTAAAAGAATTGTGATTAGTTGCATCTGTAAGTTGTATATGCATGTCAACCTTTTTACATGAACATCCCAAAAAAGTGGCCTTTTAGCTTTTTTACACAAAAAGGTCACAAAAAAACCCACAAAAAAGTACACTTTTTAAACACAAATAAGCCAAAAAATCACAAAAAAAGCCAAAAAAGTATATCTTATCGCGTCAATGGTGTAAAAAGCTTTATCAATATTAATCTTTTCGATTAGGAGGGGAATGACCCAAGTTGGTTGAGTTTATTTATTTATTTGTTTTATAGTTTTGTTAGAGGATTAGAGACATGTATGATGTTTATTTGTGATGACGATGTGGACGCACGAGTACATCTACGAAGGAAATTTTTCTTATGGGTGATGATATACATTTTGTTATATTACTCCACTTTTTCTTCTCAATGATATTCTCTTCGATTCAGCTGTCGTTGTGTTCAAGTTAGCAATTGTAAACAACAATTTATAGAACTAATTCCTATAATTATAAATCCTATATGAGATATAGAGGAATATGCTATTTGAATTGATGATTTCCACCATGCCAAGGTCACACTCTACCGCTGTAGTTTTGCGTCTCCATCAAGAAATAGAACTAACTAATCTTAAGTCGAATGGTTGAGAAACTCAACATCACTACTCTTTACATCATACAATTTTCGTAATATGACATCATTGCCTTTGAAAAAACTTAACATATCCAATGGAATCTCTAATCACTTCCTTGACGCGATAAGATTAATATTGATAAAGCTTTTTACACCATTGATCAATGCAAGACATGAATTTGGGGGCTATCTGCTTGATTTGTTTTACAGCATTGGACATGAATTTTGTGGCTTCTATTTGATGATATGGTGTAGTGACTGACTGGTGTCAATGTTGATGTCTATGGGAGAGTACTTGGGGTTGACTTAGTTTTCTATAGCTGTGGTGGACGTTGTATTTTCTCTATATTATTGATTTATATGGGATCAATTTATATGTCATTGTTAGGCATTACTATTCCAATATTTTCAAATTTATTTTTGAA